CGGCTTTCCGGAAGGCCTGGAGAGAGGTGAGGGTCCGGATCTCCGCGGGGAGTTCGTTCCAAAGGGTTGGAGCTGCTACAGAGAAGATGTACGAGATGAGATGACAGGTAGAGGCATGGACGTGAGCACATGAAATGGGTACAAATAAATGGGGACAGTTGGAGAGGGGCATTCGGCACACTGGTGCGCTTATGCACGCCCCCTCTACGGACCTCTTAGGAATGGGGTGAGGTCCACGGGAGACAGTTTGAGGTTGAAGCTGTGGGGGGTTTGAGGACGTAACAACCGAGTCCAGGCATTGACCCCTCTGTTGCCGAAGTCGTATCTTCTGCAATCGAGCTTGGAGAGGTTTACCTTGAGTTTGCATCTATCGTTTGCCCGTGTATTATTGCGGTTGAAGCTGAAGGAGTCGTTGTCAGGTAGGAGGTTGTAGGACAAGCAAGAGAGAGAACAGAGTTAGACTGTAAGGGTCTCTGCAGAAGACCTTGGGAGACCTTGGGAGATGGGGAGGCGGTGGTGCTAGAGAGGTGAGCAACAGGCGTTCAAGGTTTTCTCGCGGTCTCCCGTCCTTCCCTCCCTGCTTTGCTGCAATCTCTCATCGGCTGGCTTCGTTCTCTGCAGGCCTTGCAAAGCCTCTTCTCAAGCCCTCGCTTGGGGGATCCCGCCAGCCGCACCCCACTCTTTGAACGTCAGCCAGAACCAGAGAAACTCAGGCTGGATGCAGCCTTCCCGTTCTTGGGATCAGGTGAGTGGGTGGGTCTGGGTGGGTTTAGGCTGGGGACCAAGGGGCTAAAGGCATTTTCCTTCCCTTCTTCCTTCCTTCTGTCTCTTACATTCTTTTCCTTCCTTCCTTCCGTCTCTTACATTCTTTTCCTTCCTTCCGTCTTACATTCTTTTCCTTCCTTCCTTCCTTCCATCCTACATTTTCCTTCCTTCCCTCCTTCTGTCTCTTTCCTTCCTTCCTTCCCTTACATTCTTTTCCTTCCTTCCTTCCTTCCTTCTGTCTTACATTCTTTTCCTTCCATCTCTTACATTCTTTTCCTTCCTTCCTTCCTTTCTTCCTTCCTTCTGTCTTCCATTCTTTTCCTTCCTTCCTTCCTTCCTTCTGTGTCTTACATTCTTTTCCTTCCATCTCTTACATTCTTTTCCTTCCTTCCTTCCTTTCTTCCTTCTGTCTTCCATTCTTTTCCTTCCTTCCTTCTGTCTTCCATTCTTTTCCTTCCATCTCTTACATTCTTTTCCTTCCTTCCTTTCTTCCTTCCTTCTGTCTTCCATTCTTTTCCTTCCTTCCTTCCTTCCTTCTGTGTCTTACATTCTTTTCCTTCCATCTCTTACATTCTTTTCCTTCCTTCCTTTCTTCCTTCCTTCTGTCTTCCATTCTTTTCCTTCCTTCCTTCCTTCCGTGTCTTACATTCTTTTCCTTCCATCTCTTACATTCTTTTCCTTCCTTCCTTTCTTCCTTCCTTCTGTCTTCCATTCTTTTCCTTC